TGAGCCACCGCGCCCGGCCTCTTTATGGGTTTTTTTTTGGGGGGAGTGGAAAGGGGACAGATACATAATTTTTAATAACACTTATTTTTGATTATAGAATTACATACTCAGTGGCAAGAATGAAAACATTCCAATCCATTTCATTCCAAGAATGAAAACCATAGAATTTTATGTGAAGTAAGAAAATGAATGAGAAAAATGATGATCATTATTAATGACAAGAAAACAATAGGAAGAGCAGCCTAGCTTTATAGCAGGAATATTTAGGCTAGATTCATCTGGAATGTTTGTTTGTTTTAGGGTGTGTTTTTTGAGACAGGGTCTTACTGTGTTGTCCGGGATGGAGTGTAGTGATGCAGTCACTACAGTCTCAGTCTCCTCAAGCGATCCTCCCACCTCAGCCTCTGAGTAGCCAGGACTATGGGTGTATGCCACATGCCAGGCTAAGCCACTGCTCTCTGCCAAACCGGGATGCCGAATTGAACAAGAATGTTCTTATTTTTGGCATTTATTAATGTGCTCTAATACTCTGGAATCTCTTTGGTTCTTTGAAGCAAGTTTTATTCTTTGTGCATGCCTACCAAGTGCCAGAAATTGTGCCCATGTTGCAAATGGAGAACCCAGAACTCAGAGAATTTATGAAGTATCCAAGATCAAATAGGACATAAATGACAGGAGTCAGGAGTCAACTCAGATTTATAGCTTCAGAGTCTCACTCTGCTGCCCAGGCTGGAGTGCAGTGGTGCCACTTGGGCTCACTGCAACCTCCACCTCCCAGAGGAGTTTGGGATTACAGGTGCCTGCCACCACACCCTGCTAATTTCTGTATTTTTAGTAGAGACGGGGGTTTCACCCTGCTGGCCAGGCTGGTCTCAAATTTCCGACCTCAGGCGATCCACCTGCCCTGGCCTCCCATAGTGCTGGGATTACAGGCATGAGCCACCACACCAGGCCAACTCTTGTGTCTTATGTGTAGCAGGTGCTACCATTAAAATTGGGGAGCACTTTTTTTTTTTTAAATATAAAAAACAGTTCTGGCCAGGTGTGGTGGCTCATGCCTGTAATCCCCTTGGGAGGTTGAGGTGGGCGGATGGCTTGAGGTCAGGAGTTCAAGACTAGCCTGGCCAACACATGGTGAAACCCCATCTCTAATAAAAAAATTAAAAAATTAGGCCAAGTGTGGTGGCTTACACCTGTAATCCCAGCACTTTGGGAGGCGGAGGCAGGCGAATCACCTGAGGTCGGGAGTTCAAGACCAGCCTGACCAACATGGAGAAACCCTGTCTCTACTAAAAATGCAAAATTAGCTTGACCTGGTGGTGCACGTCTGTAATCCCAGCTACTCGTGGGGCTGAGGCAGGAGAATTGCTTGAACCTGGGAGGCGGAGGTTGCCGTGAGCAGAGATTGTGCCATTGCACTCCAGCCTGGGCAACAAAAGTGAAACTCTATCTCAAAAAAAAAAGGTTAGCTGAGCATGGTGGCAAGCACCTGTAATCCCACCTACTTGGGAAGCTGAGGCAGCAGAATCGCTTGAACCCGGGAGGCAGAGCTTGCAGTGAGCAGAGATAGAGCCACTGCACTCCAACCTGGGCGACAGAGTGTGACTCTGTCTCAAAAAAAAAATTCCTGCCATTGAGGAATTTATGACTTAGTTTTCTCTAGAGGGAGAACCGACTGACTTACAGTGGGGAGTTGTATAATTTTCTGGGTGGAGAAGACAGCCCTTGAATTTGAGTTGTGGACATAGAAGTCACATAGGAATTCACCCTTCTGGCATAATTTATGTTGCCAGGTGGTTTTTTTAATAAGTCGTTTTCACAATGTCTGTGAATTCTCATGATCAGACCTACCTTACAGGTGAAGAATTGGGGCACCTGCTCAGGTGCACATCCTCGGCATTGCCTCCCCTCCCTTCCATGAGGTCCCATATCTTGAGGTTGATGGAGACAGGACTTAAACCCAGGTCTTCCCTAAGGAAGTAATGATACATATGCAGAAAGATTAGGCTACAGCATTATTTTTTCATGACTACACAGCTTTGTATCATCCCAACATGCTGACTGTTACACAACTGATACTCTGTTACCTGTATATATCTAGGTTATTTCCAATCTTGTAGCTAAATTATAAATCCCTAAAAGTGGGTCAAGGACGTGCACATTTTAAAACAATTTGTGTTCTATATTAGAGGTTTGCAGTCTGCAACCAACTTTCAAGCCAAATCTAGCCCACCCACCTGTTTTTGTAGATGAAGTTTAATTGGAACACAGACACATCCATTTGAGTTGCCCTTGCACTACAGTAGCAGAGTTAAGTAGCAGAGACAATATGGCCCGCAACGCCTAAAATATTTACTCTCTGGCCCTTTATAAAAAAAGCTTGCTTTGCTTTTGATTTTACAGGATAAAGAAAAAAAAAAAAAAGCTTGCTAAACCTTCAGATGCAAATACACACTCGTGCATGCATATACATATACACATAAAATCAGACATAAAAGATCAGTGATTTGAAAAAGGGGCACATATCAAAAAATTGGGAATGAGATTTGCATATTTACTAAGAGATGGGCCAGGCGAGGTAGTTTATACCTGTAATCCCAGCACTTTGGGAGGCTGAGTCTAGAGATCGCTTGAGCCCAGGAATTCAAGACCAGCCTGTGCCATAGCAGGACTTCATCTCTACAAACAAATTTAAAATTTAAAAATTAGCGAGGTATGTTAGTGTACACCTGTAGTCCTAGCTGCTCAAGGAGGCTGAGGTGGGAGGATCACTTGAGCGCATGAGTTTGAGGCTGCAGTGAGCTATGATCGTGCTACTGCATTTTAGCCTGGGTGACAGAGACCCTGTCTCTATTAAAAAATAAGTACATAAATAAATAAATGAAAAGAGATGGGATGTTTGTTAGCTTTTAAGTGAAAAGAAACACTCATAAATAATCCAGGAATTAAAAATAACTCCAATCAAAATCACAGCAGGATTTTTTTACAAAGAACTTTTTTCCTCTTGACTCAATTGAGTGTAAATTGCCGCTATGATCCCCCTTGTCACTTCTGAATATTTTAATTCCTACAGACAAGGACATTCTACATTACCACAATACAATTGTCAAACCCAGGAAATTAGCAATGAAACACACGACTAATTCCAAGACCCCACTAAGTTTTCACCATTTGCCCCACTAATTCCTCTGTGGCGAAAGGATCTGATCCAGTATTACACATTACCTTAAGTTGTCTCCTTAGTCTGTTTTGGTCTGAAACACTTCCTCATTCTTTACTTGACTGTCATGACCTTGACACTTTTGAAGGCTCAAGGTCAACTTTGGCCATTGGCAGCTTTTTCGGGTTGGCTGTTAATATCCCTCTGACAGGCTCTCATTCTTTTTTTAATAAAATCAACTTTATTATTGAGACATTCACATACTATGAAACTCACCCTTTTAAAGTATACAATTCAGTGATTTTTAGTATATTCACAGAATTGTGCAGCCATTACCTCTATATAATTTTAGAACATTTTCGTCACCCCAAAAAGAAACTCTACCCTTTAACCTCACTCCCCATTTATTTCCTCCTCTCCGCAGCCCCTGGAAACCACTAGTCTATTTTTAATGTTTTCAAGGTTCATCCATGTTGTAGCACCTGTCCGGTGACTGGCCTCCTTCACTTAGCATAATGTTTCAGGGTTCATCCGTGTTGTAGCATGTGTCTGAACTTCATTCCTTATATTTTCCCAGCCTCAGCCTTAGGATCAACCATTTTTTCTAGGATTCCTGGTGCCTCTCATTGAACAATGTGATGGCCTTTTTTTACATTTTATCATTTTCTTCCTCTCCATTTATTTATTTATGTCATTATGGACTCACAGATTCCTTTTTTTTCTTTTTGAGATGGAGTCTTGCTCTGTCGCCAGGCTGGAGTGCAGTGGCGCGATCTTGGCTCACTGCAACCTCTGCCTCCCAGGTTCAAGTGATTCTCCTGCATCAGCCTCCTGAGTAGCTGAGATTACAGGTGCACACCACCATGCCCAGCTAATTTTTGTATTTTTAGTAGAGATGGGGTTTCACTATGTTGGCCAGGATAGTCTTGATCTCCTGACCTCATGATCCACCTGCCTCAGCCTCCCAAAGTGCTGGGATTACAGGTGTGAGCCACCCTGCCTGGCCTGTTTTTTGTTTTTTGAGATGGAGTCTTGTTCTGTCACCCAGGCTGGAATGCAGTATCGCAATCTTGGCTCACTGCAACCTCCACCTCCTGTGTTCAAGCAGTTCTCCTACCTCAGTCTCCCCAGTAGCTGGGATTATAGGAGTGTGCCATCACCCCTTGCTAATTTTTTTTTTGTATTTTTTTGTATTTTTAGTAGAGACAAGGTTTCACCATTTTGACCAAGCTGATATCAAACCACTGACCTCAAGTGATTCACCTGCATCGGCTTCCCAAAGTGCTGGGATTATAGATGTGAGCCACCAAACCCAGCCAGATTCCTGTTTGTTTGGTCTTGCTCCTGGCATCCGGGCTGGAGTGCAGAGGCGTGATTTTGGCTCACTACAACCTCCGCCTCTCAGGTTCAGGCAATTCTCCTTCCTCAGCCTCCCGAGTAGCTGGGATTATAGACATGCACCACCACGCTGGGCTAATTTTTGTATTTTTAGTAGAGGCGGTGTTTCACCATGTTGGCCAGTCTAGTCTCAAACTCCTGACCTCATGATCTGCCTGCCTTGGCCTCCCAAAGTGCTGGGATTACAGGCGTGAGCCACCGCACCTGGCCCAGATTCCTGTTTTATTTACTGAGTTATAATCTGTTAGTACTATTATTTTGATTTTTCATTGACCTAGATTTGGCCAGTGGCAGCCCCTTTAAGCTGGCTTGTATCTTTTCAAGTCCCCACCATTCTGTAAGCATTTCTTTACTTTCTGGTACAAGTGTTCCAAGCTTTTCTTGTACCTTCCCTGCCCCCACCCTGGAATCAACTGTTTCTCCAAGGAGTTGGGTTCCTTTTAGTGGAGCATGTAAGTTACAACTAAGACCTGGATGCTAGGTAAGCTCATTCCTACTGGGCATGGCTGGTCCCAGCCCTTCTCAATGGACACAGCTAGGAAGTATATATAAATAGACATACCTATGCAATGCCTACATAGATAGATATAGATAGATAAACTTATATAAGGGCACACACACACACATACATACATGTACATATATACACACATTTGAATCTATATTTCTCTGTCTATATATATTGAGTCCCATGAGTTTCCACGAATGTCTCTAATTCCCATCTAGCACCGCAGCATTCTGTCTGGCCTTCTTCCTTTCGATAACTCCCTTCTGTGACAGTGAGAGCCCTCACCCCCACTATCCTTAACATACTTCCTTTCTGGGTAAGTCCTCCAGTATGCAGCCAGCCTGCCACCGTCACGGACACCCTCCTCCCTGCTACAGATGCCCTTCCTGTCCCGCTCAGACTCTAACATACATATTTTTAAGGTTTTTGATACATATTCCCAAATTTCCTTCCGGCAAGTTTAGCCCACATCATACTTCCACTCCTAATATACGAGTACATGCCTGTTTCCTGCTGTCTCACCAACGATGAGCACATTTTGTTTTTCCTACTTTGCCAATCTGAATTGGAGAAAAGTTGTTTTTCATTAATATGTGGCTTTTTTTTTTTCTGATTACAAAGACCAGAAACTTTTTTTTTTTTTTTTTTTTGAGACAGCATCTTGCTGTGTCACCCAGGCTAAGTGCAGTAGAGGGATCGTAGCTTACTATAACCTGGAACTCCTGGGCTCTAATATGTGGCTCTTAAAAACCAAAGTGAACCAGTGTTGTTTGTTTGATGGTAATTCACAGTGCACTGCCTTCTAAATCTCCAGTTCTGATAGTTGGCAATTATATTTTTCCATGCTAAGTAAATTAAATGCTTGGTTTCAAATCAATGGTCAGCATTTGCCATCTTAGTATAGGATGCCAGCAGCCCTTTGTTGAGCATCGGCTGTGTATAAATTTAGGCTTAGGTGAGTTGAGAGGAGGAGACTTTTGGCTGATGGGTGCCTCCAGTTCTCACTTGGGCAGGATACATTTGAAGGCCCCAGAAGCCTACTCTCTTCCAGGCACTGACTTTTTTCTCTCTGGCCCCTCCCAGGTCTACATCCGTACACCTTCCGGTGAGGTGCAGACAGTCCTTGTCCAGGACAGTCCCCCAGCATCAGCTGCGGCAACCTCTAACACCACCTGTAGCAGCCCTGCATCCCGTGCTTCCCATCTCAGCGGGACCAGCAAAAAGCACTCAGCTGCAATTCTCCGAAAAGAACGTCCCCTGCCAAAGATTGCCCCTGCTGGGAGCATCATCAGCCTGAATGCAGCCCAGTTGGCAGCAGCTGCCCAGGCAATGCAGACCATCAACATTAACGGTGTCCAGGTCCAGGGCGTGCCTGTCACCATCACCAACACAGGCGGTGAGGATGGCCCCTGTGGCCAGGGCGGTGAGGATGACCCCTGTGGCCATAGTGGTACCTGTGCTCTTAGCAGGTGAAAACTATGGGTTGGCCCCAGGATTCCCAGTAACAATAGTGAGGATGTGTCCAGCTTAAGGGCATGTCCACCTGCAGTTTCTCACCTAGTCCTTACAGTAGCACTCAGATAGTTTAAGGCACATGTCTCCATCTGACAGCTAAAGACAGAGAAGACAGATGTACTCGGGAAACTTTCCAACTAACATCTAAACACAAAAACGGCTTCTTGGAGGAGAAAGCCTTGAGTTAAGGTTGGAAGAAAAGGAGGGAACCCCAGGCAGTGGGAATAATTTGTGCTGCACTTCAGTTCAGTGGTGAGATTTATGCTGTGAAATCAGCCTGGCAAATAACCAGGGGGAAAATTGGAGCAAACTAGCCATTTTGCCCTTAAGCAAAAATGGCTCCTTATCTAGTGGGAGCTCTCTGAATTTCTCTTCATCCTTAATGAATTTTTAGCAGTTTAACACATTTGATTTTCCCTCTTGAGGTGACCCCCAGGAGGATAAGGTATCCTAGAGGATCTGATTTTTTTTCCAAAGCCCATAGAACTGTGTCCTTTTATTTGTTGTTGTTGTTTTTTTCTTTTTTTTTTTTTTTTTGAGACATGGCCTCAGGGCCTCGCTCTATCACCCAGGCTGGAGTGCAGTAGCATGATCATGGCTCAGTGCAGCCTTAACCTCCTGGGCTCAAGCAGCCCTTGTACTTCCGCTTACTGAGTAGCTGGGACTACAGGCATGTAGCACCATGCCTGGCCAATTTTTTAGTTTTTTGTAGAGATGGGGTCTCCCTATAGGTTGCTCAGGCTGGTCTTGAACTCCTGGACTCAAGCATTCTTTTGCCTCCCAGAGTGCTGGGATTACAGGTATGAGCCACTATACCCAGCCTTGACCTGTCTTATTAATAGATATCCCTGGAGACTTTCCTAAAAGCAGAGTTGATACCTCACAAGGGCCTAAGGTTGGAGAAGATTCAGGAAGACATGTCCAAGACAAGACCCTTCCCAACCGAAATCATGTGCGCAGTATTTTAAAGCAGATTCTGCCTGCATGGTACAGTGGTTTAGGGCATGGGCTTCCTCGGTTCAGATCTGGGTTCTACCACTTACTAGCTGTGTGACCTTGATATGTTATGGAGCCTCAGTTTCTTCATCTGTAAAGTGCTGATGATAATACCTATTTTATAGGGTCATGAACATTAAATGAGTGAATACATACAAGATCCCTAAAATGGTGTCTGACCTACAGCAGGCTCTCAAAAATAGCTGCCGTGATTATCATCTTTGTCATGTGCAGAAGGGCAGAAAGGTTGACTGGAGATTTCAGGCTTCCTCACCCTGAACTCTGCCCTCTTTGTCCCCCCGCAGGGCAGCAGCAGCTGACAGTGCAGAATGTTTCTGGGAACAACCTGACCATCAGTGGGCTGAGCCCCACCCAGATCCAGCTGCAAATGGAACAAGCCCTGGCCGGAGATACCCAGCCCGGGGAAAAGCGGCGCCGCATGGCCTGCACGTGTCCCAACTGCAAGGATGGGGAGAAGAGGTAATTCAAGGAGAGGGGCCAAGCCACAAGGCTAGTCTAACTGTGTTCTCCAAGCCCCTCCTGGACAGTTGTCCAGGGCTGCAAGCTGGCACAGACCAGGTGGGGAAGAGCTGGTGGCTCTATGCCACCTTGCCTCCTGCCTCCTTGTGCTTTCTGACCTGACCCCACATCCTCACTGCATCTCATTCCTGCCCCCGTCCTCTACCTCTTTTCTCTCCTCTTCCCATTCCCTCCACTCCACCCTCACCCCAACTCTCAGGTCTGGAGAGCAGGGCAAGAAGAAGCATGTGTGCCATATCCCTGACTGTGGCAAGACGTTCCGTAAGACATCCTTGCTGCGTGCCCACGTGCGCCTGCACACTGGTGAGCGGCCCTTTGTCTGCAACTGGTTCTTCTGTGGGAAGAGGTTCACACGGAGTGACGAACTCCAGCGGCATGCTCGTACCCACACAGGTCAGCTTCCTGCCTCTCCCCCCATCCCCACTCTATGACCCTTAGCAACATTGACACTCCTGGAACTGCCACACTAAGCAAGAGCTACAGACTGTCCAGGGACAGCATAAGAAATTATTTTCAAGCCATTCCATTATCACTGTTGTTTCCCAAAGTAATGGGAAAAGAATAGTTTTTATTGCATGACACAGCTTGATAACTTTGCCATGTCCATAGAGTTATTTAACAAACACTGACATAGTGTGCCAGGCACAATACTAAGCACTTTATAACTCAGTTGATCCTGGTGAGTGAAGTGGCACAGTTTTGGCCCACTGCAACCTCTGCCCCATCGGGATCAAGCAATTCTCCTGCCTCAGCTTCCTGAGTAGCTGGAATTACAGGCACCCGCCACCACGCCCAGCTAATTTTTGTATTTTTAGTAGAGATGGGGTTTCAACATGTTGGCCAGACTGGTCTCAAACCCCTGATCTCAGGTAATCTACCCACCTCAGCCTCCCAAAGTGCTAGGAATACAGGTGTGAGCCACTATGACCAGCCTGTTGATGCCCATTTTACTGAGGAATGGAGAGGTGGTGGCCCAGTCACACAGCTAGTGACTGGTGGAGCCACAGACTTTTTTTTTTGAGACAGGATCTCACTCTGTCACCCAGGCTGGAGTGCAGTGGCACAATCTTGGCTCACTGCAGTCTTGAACTCCTGGGCTCGAGCGATTCTCCGACCTCAACCTCCCGAGTAGCTGACACTACAGGCGTGTACCACCACACCTGGCTAATCTTTAAATTTTTGGTAGAGACAGGCTCTCACTGTGTTGCCAGGCTGGTCTTAAACTCCTGGGCTCAGTTGATCCTTCTTCCTTTGCCTGCCGAAGTGAGATATCACAGTTACAGTTTTATGTACTGGCAAGTCAATGCAAAACTATTAAAAATATTGATCCCGTGGTGGCTCATGCCTGTAATCCCAGCACTTTGGGAGGCTGAGGCGGATGGATCACGAGGTCAGGAGATCAATACCATCCTGGCCAACATGGTGAAACCCCATCATCTCTACTAAAAAAAAAAAAAAAAAAAAAAGTTGATCCAGGCTAGGCACAGTGGTTCACACCTGTAATCCCAGCACTTTGGGAGGCTGAGGCAGGTGATCGCTTGAGCCCAGGAGTTTGAGACCAGCCAGGGCAACATAGCAAGACCCCCATCTCTCAAAAATACAAAGTTCATCCATCTACCACCTGAAATTGTCCTGGGTATCCACAGTGGTCCACACACACACTTTCGGCAAACATTGCTGTAGTGAATGCCCAGAGTGAGCAGACACCTGTCCTGGGGCAGATTACCTGAGGTCAGGAGTTTGAGACCAGCCTGGCCAACATGGCAAAACCCCATCTCTACAAAAATGCAAAAATTATCTGAGCACAGGGGTGGGCACCTGTAGTCCCAGCTACTTTGGAGGCTGAGACAGGAGAATTGATTGAACATAGATAGAGGTAGAGGTTGCAATGAGCATAGCTTGTGCCCCAGCCTGGGCAACAGAGCAAGACTCCATTTCAAAAAAAAAAAAAAAAAGATTTAGATGCATAGGCACCAGGGAGCAAATGTGAGAGCAGAAGATGGGCAGAATGTGGTGACAGGCCATGTCAGCTTGATTGGGTGCCCCTCACATGCACCCCACCTTTTTGGGCAGGGACAGGGTCTATGCACAGGGTCTGTGGGTGATGGGCATTTCCTCTTCCCAGGGGACAAACGCTTTGAGTGCGCCCAGTGTCAGAAGCGCTTCATGAGGAGTGACCACCTCACCAAGCATTACAAGACCCACCTGGTCACGAAGAACTTGTAAGGCCAACTGCGGTGGGAGGCCCTGAAGATGCAGTCCCCCACCTGTGTCCTCCCTGGGCCCCTGCTGGAAAAGGAGCCCTGTGGCTGCCTTGGGCCCGCCCTCAGCCCCACTCCTGTTCTTTGACTGTCCCCACAGAAAGGGACTCTGCTCCCTGTACTGTCCTCCTTCCGAAGCCCCTTGGCTCTGCCTTGGCCCTTCCCCTCACCACGAGCTCCCGGCCTGCCCAGACTGTGGACACTGGCCATGCCCAATGAGACGTTCTAAACCAGGACGCGTGGGAACCCTTATTTCCAAAGGAAAAACATGCATTTCACTCCGTCGAGGAGCAAAGTGAGCCCCCACTCCCTACCCCAATCCCCGCTCCCAACACTGCCGGAGTCGCATCGTGCCATGCCCCCTCTCCTGCACCTCCCCGGCCCTGTTCACTACTGTGGACACCCTGGGGCTCGGCACCCACCTCTGGAGAGACTCGGGGCCACCTCCACTCCATGTGCCCAGCCCTGCCATAACCTCTCCTCCAGCACATTCCAGCTCTATTTAAAAAGTAAAGATACCCACCGACTCCTCCTGATCCCTCTTTTTCTATGGAGAACGTTGCCTTATACTCTCTACTTCAGATGATGAACACTGTGTACTGTGTGTGCTTTAAAGAAGTTTATTTAATTGCTCCCTTCTTTCCTTGTTATTCACCCCCCACATGCCTGCTTTCAGTTGAGGGTTTTGGGGGGCAATGATGAGCATATGAATTTTTTTCTCACTCTAGCAATTCCCTTTTCTAAATGACACAGCATTTCAACTCAAATCTGAATTCAGATAACACCTGCACATCCTGAACCTCCTCCCTCTCCCTTCATCTCACCCCCGACCGGCCCAAGCTCTACTTGTGTACAGTGTATATTGTATAATAGACAATTGTGTCTACTACATGTTTAAAAAACATATTGCTTGTTATTTTTGAGGCTTTTAAATTAAACAAAAATCCAACTTTATTTTTAGTTGTAACTGCTTGAGGTATGTTTTATGAATTAAGTGACAGATTTGTTATCCTCTATTAACGTACTTTGTTGGTCGGCACTGGGCTGACAAAAATTTTTTCTTGCTAATAAATTTAGTTGCCTGAGGCAAAATCTGCAACTTGGCAGTTCGACTTCCTTTGTCTTTTCCCTTGGAGAGCTTGGAGAGGGGACTCCAGAGGAGGGAGCTATGGTCTGTTAGAGCGGTGCACACTGGGACCAAGGTAGGACCTTGCCCTCCTGACTGTCGGCAAATCCAGGCCACATGCCCAAATGGGGCCACGGCCACATGTACCTCATGACACAAGCCCCCAGAGCACCTCCAAGGGCCAGGCCCAATGCAGGTGTTCCTGCTTTTTTCTTCCATAAGCCAGTTTTGCTTGTACACAAAGCAGATACCACGGAGCCAAGTCACAGCAGTGACTTCCTCAGCCAGCAAGCTAACTACTCCACCCACCTCCTTAACCTCTGGAGGAAGGCATTGGTCTCAAAGCCCATTAGTAAGAAGATTAGAGAGGAAAGCCAAGGGAGTCTTGGCCCAGTCCCCTCCAGAAGGCTACAGTCTGGCAAAAATGCATTTCCCCAAGGGCCAAAGTCCCTTCCCAAAGTTAAGGGCCAGGCAGGTTCCTGGGAGCACCTGGCAGCTAGAGAGTCCTGAAGCCCAGCTCCACCTGAGAGAAGACCCTGGCCACAGATTCTGGTTCCTTCTATCCCCTGCCTAGTACCCCAGAGAGAAGTTGATTGTGCCTTTTGGTTATAGCAAGTGCTATAAACCTGAGATTTTAGTGGGGCTCTGTTTTGCTTTGTTTTGCAGAGCTGTTAGGAAGTCAGGGGTTGTGATATGGTGCAGATTAAGATTGGAGCTAGGCCGGGCGCGGTGGCTCAAGCCTGTAATCCCAGCACTTTGGGAGGCCGAGGTGGGTGGATCACGAGGTCAAGAGATGGAGACCATCCTGGTCAACATGGTGAAACCCCGTCTCTACTAAAAATACAAAAAATCAGCTAGGGCCGGGCGCGGTGGCTCAAGCCTGTAATCCCAGCACTTTGGGAGGCCGAGGTGGGTGGATCACAAGGTCAAGAGATCGAGACCATCCTGGTCAACATGGTGAAACCCCGTCTCTACTAAAACTACAAAAAACTAGCTGGGCATGGTGGCGTGTGCCTGTAATCCCAGCTACTCAGGAGG